TTTAAAGGTGAACTGACACGCAAAATTAACTTGATCTCTATTGAAAGTCTATCTGGTCAAAACAATCAGGGCGTTTTCAGTTTTTGAAAATTAAGCACTGTTTGCGAGTTTTTGAGCGCTAAAGTTCATCACCGACAACCTTCCGATTAACTGCGAGTTCGTCCGAGCTTTGTCAAATCCGTGACGTCACAAACACCACATTAGAATCACAGAATACACTTGCGCCACTTGGAACTGGAAGCCTTTTCTGACTTTGGTTGGATCGACTTGATTTTGCGAAAGAGGATCGATCGATACGTTGAAAATGGATTCAGACTCCGATACAGAATTCAGTTATCCTGATTTACAACAACAGGCAACGATTCGCCCTTATATGTTTGAGCCCCTACCGCGGTCACAAAGAGATGCAGCTTGTGGGCCTAGTCAAAGTGACAACACCGAGGATATGGAGGATGAGGATGATGTAAATACCGATAGGATAGGACACACAGAATGGTAATTAGATTTTTACTTCTGCTTTTAAAAGCTGAGCTAGTATTACCATCAGTAAATGCAAATTTTTGTTAACTAAGATAATCACGAGACACTACAATATTGAAGATCGCTATTTGTACAAAATATAGAGACTTGCCTTGAATGATAGTGTCTACCTGCCGAAACAGTAAACCCATGCTTTCCTGACTGATTCAGGTGTCAGTGTGGCAAATGTTTGCCAATGCGAAAAGGAAGGGAGAGTGTCTGCTGCTTGGAGATAGACGAAGTAAAAAAACGAACCGGAAGACTTACATGCATAACAGACCACGATGGCTTCAAGTCACTATGCCTTGATCATCATGTCGTAGAGGATGCGATTTATCAGTATGTGGGTGAGGTGGGAGGCTATGTCGACGATACTCCCGCTTTTGAGTAAGTTTTTATGATTTCTGGGTCTTAAATTTTCTCATTTTTTTCGTTATGGAGAAAGTGTTTTAATAACTTTGCGAAACAATATTGGGTAGTAAAACAATCTGAATGATCAGTTTTGGACCTGCTTTTTTGAAAAGCTGACTCGCGTCTCCAATGAACCCAGTCGCATTAAAATTTTTGATGCATGTTTGGCAGATTTTTTTTCTTTGGATTGTGATTTTTGCAGATATTTTCTTCTAGGGGTTTTTATGAAAACTTTTAGACCAAGCCCCCTCCTAGCATTTCCATATTAAACTGTTATCTTGATTTATGCCAGTATCTTATTTTTTTGTTGCTTTCCAGACTTTTTAGGCATGTAGCTTATCGCCAGTTTGTCAGGTGGATTTGGCGGCGGCTAGGAAAGCATGTAAGGAAAGTCATTCCTTCTTGTTCGGTGGCAAAGATTAGAGCCAAGTTTCCATCTGAAACATATACAGGGTTCAAGTTATTTGGAATTGATCACTGATTATATCAGGTAAATAAAGCAGCATATTTTGAGTATATGTGTATTAGCCTTGGACCACATACATTACATTATATTTCCATTTGGATATATAATGTTTTCTTCCTGTAGGGTTTTTTCATATGAAAATAGTAATAATTGTGTTCCCTTGTTACCGAATATACATTTCTACATCATCTAGATATACATTTCTATATCATTACCGAAAAATCCCTAAATTTTTAATTTCTTTACTTCTCTAGCATTTGCATTATTTGCCTTTTTTCTTTTTCTATGTAGAGGTTTTTTGTTTTGAACTTGGTTGTTTTGTTCCTCTGTAGGCCCTGCACAAGATGTCTTTGAAAAACGGGAGATATGCTGACTCACAAGCTCTGGCTTTGATACCTTTTTATGGCCAGCAGAAAGAGGATCTGGACTTTTGATCAAGTCATGACAATCACCTGCTTGTGCATATGTTATTAGCTCTTTTCTTCTTTGAACTGCCTTCTCCATAATGATCTTTGCATACTCTAAAAAGTTTGAAAATGACACATCAAATCAAATGAGCAGGTAAAAAGGATAAGATGATTATTTTTAGGCACTGCCAACAAGAAAGACTAACCATATGTGCTTTTTGACTTAATTGGTTTAACCACACCAGTTTGTTTGTACTTTATATATGATATTTGCCATCTTTTCTCCCCATCCTTTGTTTCCAATTGCTGTCTGCCAGTATTTTCATTGAAATGAATAGCTGCCAGAAGAACCCTAGAAAATAAAAAGATTATGCTGATCCGTTGTTTACAGTGAAGCACAAACTTTGAAAGACACATACCAGCTCGTTGTTTCGTAGCGACATAGAATATTCCTTTTAATCCTGTATGCCAAATATCACATTATGCATAATAGAATTGCAGGATTATTCGATAGCAGTGTCTTTCTGGTAAAGAAAAGCTATTTAAACCAGGTAAATAACAAGCTTCCTTAAGATATCATTAACCAGGGCTATTATGTCTCATTGATATTTAGGAACAAATAAATGGATAACATGTGCTTGATTGTTACCTTGCTGTCATTGCCTGAAAGTGAAAATGTGTATGCTTTGGGGCAAAGTGGAGAACAATGTTATGGAAAGATTCAAGATGGCTTGTCTGTTCCACAGGTGAAAGCTTAGCTATGTCATTAAGAAGTTGTGTTTTGGTCAATTTGTCTTTCAATTCTTTATATGCAGCTTTTCCTGAAAAAAGAGTATTTGTGTTAATCAATGTTTGTTGTCTCATAAGAAACACAAACACAAATAAAGGCTTTTTAAACATGATCCCATCCAACAAGTTTTTGGCTCGCAAAGTCGTTTATTGTTTATTCTACATTTTTTGTCATGTTTGAAAATTTTTGCATAAGATACCTTTTATCAACCATTCACGCTCCATAGGCCCATGTTCACAGCATTTAAAAAGTTGTCCATCATGTCCTTCGTGCTTATTAATGATGTGGTTGAAAAGAGAAAGCCACTTTTCCTTGATTAGTTGTGGACTATCTTTGCTAGTTGATGCACACCAATATACATGATTTTTTATTGATGGAACCCATTCATTTACCACAGCTGTTGTCCTCTTCTTGCCAATTTCTTCTACCTTTCTTGCAATCGCTGATAGGAATTTTATATCAGTAATTGAATTTCAAGCATGATTGTCATTTTATTTGGATTAGAATATAGCAGTAAATCAATGTTTCAACTCTTTAAGAAATAATCAATACAATAAAGCAATATTCATTTACAAATGAAGTTATAAATTAAATTTCAGTGGAATGTGTAGATATTTAAACATTTGGCCAACAATTGATATTTTAAAGAGTTGGAGGAGTTTTTACATCTGATTTGTAACATTCATTTATAAATCAGTTGAACCTTTCTGTCTATGAATTTATTTAATGCCAATTGCTATGCAGCAAAGTTACAAAGCAACTCACATTTTGCAACATGGAAGACATCAAAGCGGTGATTCTTGTCTGAATGACATTCTCTCATGTATTTTTTAACTCCAGCATGTCTGTCTGTGACAAGTGTCGAGAAGTTAATACCTGCAGCTTTCACTTCATCCAAGCAACGTTTTAAACCTTCCAGCTCCATGTGATATGAACCACCAACTTCATTGCTCTACACCAATAAAAAGGGAAATCAGTTGACAAAGCATCACATGCTTAGAGTCGAGGGAGGTCATAGTCAATCATTGGAAAAGCTCTTTTGGACTTAAACTGAAACTTTGCTTATAGGTTATACCTAAAGTTGTAAGAATATTTTAGGTCTCATTTCATAGTTACCTGTAGTGTATTAACACTGATTATTTTGTTTGATTCCAGATTCATCAATGAATAGCTCCCATATTTGGCAGTATGACCTGGAGAATCCATTCTGGCATCACCTCCCAGTGTTCTGATACCCTGACTGCTTCTCAAAAGTTGCTGTTGAACAGACTTCCAATGTTCCAAAATTGAGGGAATCAAATACAGTTTTTGGATCCTATGATAAGTCCTCTCTGTGAAGCTTGGTGTTTGCATATTGTGAAAAAGTAGCAATATTTTTGCTGGGGAGCACCCTGACAACAATGTACTTGCAGCAATGACAAAATTTCCAAGTGGCATATCACCAATTAGTGGCTGACTTCTCCATTTTCTTACATGACCTTGCAGACATGATGCTTCAACTTGTACCATTGAGCCCACCAAGGAGGTTGAGATATCAATACAGGGACCAAGACAAACTGAGCAAATTGCGAAAAGCTGCAGGAGACATGACTCAAATACCAGGAACTTTCTTTCAAAGTGAGGTGGAATCTCCTTTTCACATTCAGACTCGGCAGATGAGAAAGATGATGCTTGAGGATCCCAGTTTTCACTTTGTGATCCACTGCTGGTTTCAGATTCTACCTCAGAAAACTCATGGGACTCAGCAAGACCACTGCTCAATTGTGGTGAAACTGTAGATAAAAAATTTTGAAGAGGAACACCATCTCTTAATTATCCTCAGGCATAAATTACTGTCTATTGTGCTCTCAGACTTGAACTACTACCTCCCCCCCCCCTTAAATTTTATCTACATTTAGCCTGTATACTCTCTTTTCTGTTTACCTGCTTTTAGGAAAGTCTGCAAGGAATATTTTTCTTGTATGTTGAATGATCTAATCAGTTGACAACATTTTGACAGAAATTACTCTACAGTTGACAGAATTCAAAATCCAAAAATAATTACAAATAAAAATGTATGACATGAGAGAAACAAATCAAATTTTACCTTCGTTCGCCTGATCTGGTACTCTATGGATACATAAAGGATGCATTTGGCTGTCTGTTTGTATGGCTTTATGGACAGACTTTTTTTTCCGTTCAGTTTGGGTATACCTGTTTACAGTCTCTGTTTTTTCTGTTTGCACTGATACACTAACTGGAAGTTGGGTGTCTGTATTGCAGCCAATGTCTATAAACAAGGGCATTGCAAGTTCTGTAGAGTCTTCTTCAGAGGGAGGAGACTGCTCTGCCAATAACTTTTGCACAATCTAGACCAGTATGTAAAAATTAAATATAATTTATTTATTATATAAATTCCCTAAAAGTCCTTTATTTAAGTTTGTAAGCAGAAAACAGGCTTGAAAAAGTTTCCTGTAGGGGCAGACACTTAGTCATATATTGGGGGGACAAGCCATTTGTTTTGATAAGATGATGTCAAATTGTTCCATTGTTTTAGACCCAAAGCCCATTTTCCTCAAAAAATATTGGGGGCAACCACCCCCTCCTCCCAGGTGTCTATCACTGCTTTCCTGAAAAGGAGCCTGAGACTGCAACGCCCCTCCAGTTTCATTCTGGTATACATTTCATATGTTTTGAAAATTATTTAGTGCTTGAAACCCAAAGCTCCTACTGCCCGCTTTATTTTACATTGATAGCATAATAAAAGTCATCTCACAAAACTCACATTTTGTTTTAGAAATATTCACATTATCAGGGAAGCTGGAAAGGGGGGAAGAGGGGGAAACTGCCCTCTTGCCCTTTGATAGGAGGAGCAAGGGGGCTAAAGTGCCCTTGTTCTCAGCCTTTTGTATTTATTAAGGGGGGCATGGCCCCCTCACTTATTTGCAAAACACTGGAGCTTTTATAAAACCTTTTGTTATGATTGTTATATTTTATCTTGGCCTCTCCACTTAACCTGCGGCGGAGCCCGTTAAAATAGTATCGAAAGTAGAAATTGACTACTTTCGGGCAATTAAAAGTGGGCATGGTCGGACTGGGGGGAGGGGCATATTTGGAGTATTTGCCACAGCATAACCAAAAAATTTAATAATACGTGCAGCTTTAAATATGAAAATTAAAAGAAGCCGAATATACTGTGTTCTGAGAATCAATGATCTAGAAGGTACTATGCAGTAACAGGCTATGTAAAATTAATATGGCTTGACGAACCTCATGACGGGCTCTCTTCATTAGCGCTTTGCTTTTGCCAGCAGCAGTAACAGGGCTTTTTCTTGGGCTAAGGCTTGGCTCCAGCTGTTTCTGAAATTTGCTCGCAAACCTGCTCCCCAAATACGGTCTTTTCCCTTTGACATTACACTTAAATTTGGGTGACGAGAAGTCGAATTCCGTTGGAACAGCATCCGCTTTCAATTTTAACTTAAAACGAATGCCTGTTAATTCCATTAACTCGGGATTCCTCTCGAAGGAAGTTTGCTTGAAATGGTCTTGACAAAGCGCTGCTCTTGGACCGGGATTGAAGTTTTCCCTTTTTGTATTTCTAATCCACTGTCTACGTATGATAGGGTTTTCGGGGAATGTGAACAACGATTTTCCTTTACCAGTGCAATTATAAGCTGAACAACCAACCATTTTCTTTATCTGCAATCACAGGCCACGTTTATCTCGTCGAAAAGTAGCAGAATATTAACAAGGTGTCTGGTCACTTCGTGCGTGATTTGTATTCGAGAGATGAAAACATGGTGTTTGTGACGTCACGCCCGCTAGGTCACATGAAATGCCGATAATGGCCGAGTCGTTAACGATAATTTTGTGACATTTGAGGCAGAATTGCAACGAAACGGAAAGCAATAATTAACCGAAAACTTGAAATTAAGATTCTACGCGTCATTTTCTACATTATATCAAAAAATAGTTTTGCGTGTCAGTTCACCTTTAAGGTATATACGAAAAAGTTAATGTTATTATTTCACTGTATTAAGGTGTATGCTTGCATTTACCGGGTCTGATTAACAAATTAATCTCTTGTATGTCTTGTATGCTTCGATATTCTATATTGCAGTGTTTTTTAATCACTGTGCCGTGAGATATTATCCGTTGTGCCGTGGAAAATACTTCAATATTACCTAACTGGTCTAAAAAACGGGCCCATGTTTCACACTGACTAAATAGAAATATTTCATCTTTATCATAAAATACTTTTTCATCGTGTTTATTGATTCTTATTCAAAACAAACGACTTTATGTTGTGAATATAGGCCACAGCATTTCATTTTTATATGTTCTGTTGGTGGTTTGCCTCGTGATTTTTTTCAATGAAAAAATGTTCCTTGGATCAAAAAAGGTCTACAAGTCCTAGTGCATTGTAAAGCTATCTACTTAAAGTTGCATTCTGTTATTCCTATCAGGTTGATGTTTACGTTTCTTTGCATCGTCAAATGGAAAACTGGAAGCTACTAGGCACTTCGCTCACTGATAGTCATGGCCGAATTGATTTTCAAGTTCCTGAAGCAGAAACATTTCCACAAGGTATTCATGCTGTGAAGATGGTTGTAAGGTAGGAATTAAGCCACTTTCATACACATACCATGTTATCTGAGTGGCTCTTTTTCAACCTTTTTGCAACGCATCCAAAGCTCACTTTTAGGTCACCAATGCGCTGTGCTTTGTTCATGGAGCAATGACATTGTCGTTTCTCTCGATTTTGCTACATTCTATGTTGCCATTCACTTGGATTACAGATAATTGGCCACTGCTGTGCTGTCTTGCTAACTGAGACTCTGAACAGTGATTGCAGGCGCCAACTCTTCGGTCATGCAACGTTTTCAACATACTTTGCAGACACCTCTGTATGCAGCTGCCTCATGATGAAGGAGAAGTTCATTTTAGAAAGTACTTGCTCCCTGATTCCGTTAACTTTATTCAGGAATGATCTTTCGTGTATAGTCAATGTATGGTAGGGATAGGACTATTAAAGATAATAATAATTGAGAGAGATATGGTTTTAACTCGAAAGTTTTATCTTCGTCCCAGGGGCGATCATTCAAGCGTCGATTCCAATGTGGCAGTGGTACCTCGAAGTGCCGAGGCTGTTGTTTTCAGTATTGATGGGTCGTTCCTGGCTGCCTATTCTTTGCGAGCAATTGATCCAAAAATTCGAGGGGGCGCAGTTGACGTAGTTCGGTGGGTATTTCTCTTTTTGATAAAAATGAATGTAGCACAACTTTGTTTTAGTATTTGTTGCACTTTAGATGTTGAGAAGCGTGTTCTTACCGAAGATATGAATGAATCGGTTGAATTGATTAATGGAAATATTGATAAATGAAAAATGGACAAGTGTTTTTTAGAATTAATCAATAAACGAATAAATGAATGAACGAATGAATGAATGAATGAATGAATGAATGAATGAATGAATGAATGAATGAATGAATGAATGAATGAATGAATGAATGAATGAATGAATGAATGAATGAATGAAGGAATGAAGGAATGAAGGAATGAATTGATAAATGAATCAATGAATGAATGAGTGAATGGATGAATGAGTGAATGGATGAATGAGTGAATGAATGAATGAACGAATGAACGAATGAACGAATGAACGAATGAACGAATGAACGAATTAATGAATGAATGAATGAATGAATGAATGAATGAATGAATGAATGAATGAATGAATGAATGAATGGATGAATGAATGAAAGAATAAATGAATACGTTTATATCCTTAATGTTTAGAACGTGATTCGTTAGATTTTCTAAAGACTAAGATACCAACATAAAGCTCACCAAAGCTCTTTTTTCTCCACTTCTATCTGAGTTTTATAAATTTCGCTGTGTTGACCGTTTTTGCTTGAATTTTAGGCATTGGCAAGAACTGGGCTATTTAATAATCTATGTCACTAGTAGATTGCTTTTCCAAAAGCACCAGGTGACTCGATGGCTGGCACAGCATAACTTTCCTTTTGGCATTGTCTCTTTTTGCGAAAGCATTAGAAAGGATTATCAGAAACACAAACAAGAATTTTTGCGCTCTGTTGTAAATAAGGTTGGTTGAAACCGTGTTGTGTGATACAGAATATAATCCATTAATTAATTAATTATTAAATTAATTCATTCATCCGTTCATTCATCCGTTCATTCATCCGTTCATTCATTCGTTCATTCATTCGTTCGTTCATTCATTCATTCATTCATTCATTCATTCGTTATTTCATTCTTTCATTCATTCATTCGTTCGTTAATTCATTCTTTCATTCTTGTATTCATTCATTTATTTATTTCTTTATACATCTATTCATTCCTTCACTCATTTACTTGTTGGTTTATTAATTTATTCGCTTCTTCATTTTTGTATTTATTGAACAATCAAATTCATATAATAATTCATTCATTCACTTGTTCATTCATTAATTCATTCATTTATATAAGTGTATCCGTGCGATTGTTCCAGGAAAGACACAAGGTCACCGAGTCCTCACCATAAATGCCACATACAATTCAACAACAAGTTACATCATCTATGAAAAAAAGAAAGAGAAAATAAGAAAAAAGGAAAATTAGAGAAAGAAAGAAAGGGGTGCTGTTGCTGTATTTCGGCATTAACTTAACCTTGCCGAGGCCTTAACGAAGGAAATTGCTGCTTCTAATATAATTCTGTTTGCAACTGTACCCAAATTCCGCTCTCCAAACAAGAGTAAATGACAAAGGTCTTTCATATTTACATCGGCAACATTGAATCCATCGTTACCTGAGAGCTGGTCAAAGAGATCCTGGTACTTCATGCTATATAGAGGGCAGTGCAGGAGAAAATGCTCACTGTCCTCTTTACCAGTGCCACAGACACACATCGGACTTAAACAGGCAAAGTTATGTTTAAATCTATGCTCATTCAAAGCACTGAATTCAACCCTAATTCGTCTTTGATAGCTAGAGCAGCAGAGTATTGGGTCTGTTCTACTTTTTGTGTGAAATGATGGCGCATTTCAGCGTCGTGTTTATGGTATATGATATCTCCATAATCCAAATGCGGTCGAACGTAAAGCTTATAGATTTGCTCAAGAACTTCTCTACAAACGTAATTTGAAAGACATTTATCATTCCAATTCCTCTGCGTGCCTTTAGGATAGCCTCTCTAATATGATTTTTGAAATCAAGTTTTGAGTCAAGAATCAGTCCTAGCTGCTTATGCTCATTCTTAGAAACTATTTCATCGCTTCCTAGTCTAAGTTTTGGATGATCCGTTTTATGCCTTTTACAAGAAAAGATAACTTCCTCCGTTTTATTGGCATTAAACTGCATTTTCCACTGCCACACCCACAAATTTTTCTTTCAAGATGGCGATTCAACACTCGAGCGGTCACATTTGCATCATCAACAACTGAGAATAGGGATATGTCATCAGCATAAAGCTTAATTCCACACGTAATGTTGCTGACTATATCATTTCTGTAAATATGAAAGAACAGCGAGCCAAGGACTGATCCTTGAGGTACCCCTGCCGAGGTCGATTCCCAGTTTGAACTTTTCCCATTTAAAACAACGCGCTGTTTTCTGTCCTTTAAAAGGTTTTGAAGAAGCTGGAGAATATTTCCAGATATTCCATTGCAGACCGTCATGCCATACTCTGTCAAAAGCCTTGAACAAATCCAGAAAAACAGCACGTATTTCTTTGCTAGGCAGCTCTTCAAAGGCTTTGTAAATATTGTTAGTTATTGCTAACAAGTGATTGATTGTTGAATCGCCTGGCCGAAAACCTGATTGATGTTGAGACAAAAGACCATTTTCGCATAGGTTGCTGTATATCGCATCAAACAAAAGGTTTTTGAAGATTTTTCCAAAAATTGGCAACAGCAAAATTGGGTTATAGTTTTCCTTGCTCTGTCTATCACTCTTTTTGTGAAAAGGAATTAGGTCTGCCTTTTCTCATTTAGGGGGGTTTTAGCTCCAATTGTATCTCTTTTGTCTCGCATCAATAAGCAATGGGAAGTTGCAGGCAGTGGACTATCTGTTCCAAATTTCTAAGATTTCTAAGGAAATGGTTAAAATTTTCACTGACAAACTTTTGGAAGTTTCTCACCCCAGTTAAAAACTGTTATTAAGCGCAAACAAAGAGTTTATTCAAAGTTGTTCAAAGTGGTAGGAAACAAGAAGAGTGGAATCGGGTAAAAAATATGCAAAGTGAAATTTCAAGACTGATAGCCAGTGCTAAGAATGAGTATTATGCAAACCTAGGCAAAAGCTATCTGACCCCAAAACTGGAGCTAAAACCTACTGGTCGTTCGGTAAGCTTATTAATAAGAACAAATTTTCAAACATACCCCCTCTGCTTGAACATGGTTTATTTGTCACCAATGTGGAGGCCAAAGCAAACATTGTTGATGATTATTTTGTTTCACAATGCTGTGCAGTAAATACTTGTAGCACGATTCCCGTGGTCTTGTGATATTTACAAAACATAGAAATTAACAGGTAAAAGGTCCTAAAACTCATTAGGTCTCTTGACACAAAAAGGCACATGGCTGTGATGATATTTCGTCTTCAATGATTAAGATAGGTGACGAGTCAATAGTAGAGCCCCTATGCTTGATTTTTGAAAAATGCCTAAAATCTGGTGATTTTTCGACAAAATCATTTATCAGCTTCATTGGTTTTTGTTCATTGCTCTCGCAGGAAGCTGTTTCAATCCACGCTGCATATGGTTCGTCGAGAGACATCTCTGTTTTCACTTCAGTTGGTTTGTCCAAGGAACAGATATTTATCGTTGGTAAACATCGGCAGCAGAAGGGATCTGCCAATTTTCAGGTATGTTCATTTTTAACTGTTCAGTAGCAGTGCGAACTGTTTGTTCCTATCGTTTGTTTATGGGATTCTCCCAGCAATTTGGCTGAGAAATTTGTCTGGTATTAAGTAGGATTATCGTGGCATTTTTCATGTAATGTGTGTAATGATTATTCTTGTAATGATTTGGATGCGGATATTTATGGTCGATTGAGATTTTTGCTATTATTCGGGTGCGGAAATATAAAACTTTCATTCAGGATTCTTGCAGTTATTTGCTGCAAGATGTTTGGATTATTTTGCTGCATGGTCTTGGGATTATTTTGGTGCAGACATTTCCGATTCGGTTTGTTACGATTATTTGCTTTAAGGTGTTGGGATTACTTTCCTACATACTCTTGCAATTATTTTGGTAGAGATATTTGTGAAGAGGCATTTTCATTCTGGATTCTTCAGGGTGCAGACATTTACGGCATTTTCAATCCAGATTCTTCAGGGTGCAGACATTTACGGCATTTTCAATCCGGATTCTTTCGGGTGCAGACATTTACGGCATTTTCGATCCGGATTCTGTAAGGTGCAGACATTTACGGCATTTTCGATCCGAATTCTGTAAGGTGCAGACATTTACGGCATTTTCGATCCGGATTCTGTAAGGTGCAGACATTTACGGCATTTTCAATCTGGATTCTTCAGGGTGCAGACATTTACGGCATTTTCAATCCGGATTCTTCAGGGTCCAGACATTTACGGCATTTTCAATCCGGATTCTGTAAGGTGCAGACATTTACGGCATTTTCGATCCGAATTCTTTAAGTGCAGACATTTACGGCATTTTCAATCTGGATTCTTCAGGATGCAGACATTTACGGTATTTCGATCCGAATTCTTTAGAGTGCAGACATTTACGGCATTTTCAATCTGGATTCTTCAGGGTGCAGACATTTACGGCATTTGCAATCCGGATTCTTCTGGATGCAGACATTTACGGCATTTTCAATCCGGATTCTTCCGGGCGCAGACATTTACGGCATTTTCGATCCGGATTCTGTAAGGTGCAGACATTTACGGCATTTTCAATCCGGATTCTTCAGGGTGCAGACATTTACGGCATTTTCAATCCGGATTCTTCAGGGTGCAGACATTTACGGCATTTTCAATCCGGATTCTTCAGGGTGCAGACATTTACGGCATTTTCAATCCGGATTCTTCAGGGTGCAGACATTTACGGCATTTTCAATCCGGATTCTGTAAGGTGCAGACATTTACGGCATTTTCGATCCGACTTCTTTAGGGTGCAGACATTTACGGCATTTTCAATCTGGATTCTTCAGGGTGCAGACATTTACGGCATTTTCGATCCGGATTCTGTAAGGTGCAGACATTTACGGCATTTTCGATCCGACTTCTTTAGGGTGCAGACATTTACGGCATTTTCAATCCGGATTCTTCAGGGTGCAGACATTTACGGCATTTTCAATCCGGATTCTTCAGGGTGCAGACATTTACGATATTTAGGGTGCAAGCATTTGTGAATGGCATTTTCGATCCGGATTTTCAAGGTGCAGACATTTACGATATTTAGGGTGCAAGCATTTGTGACCATTTTTGATGTCTTATTTGTGATGTCTTGATTGTTTTCTTCTTTGAAACAATGCAGCATTTAGACGAGTTGTCATAAAAAGATCTGTTTAAGAATCTATTTCAAATAGTCTTCGGTTTTCACTACAGCTGACTGACCCATCCCTCTAGTCTGTTCTCGTGTTTTGTCGTTTTCAATGAGATCCAGTTTTTATAATTTCGCGTTTTTACAATAATTCTTTGTCATGGAAGCATCAAGAGAAAATAAACCGTTTGTAGATTGACCAATGCAAAGTACGATGGGACACTCTCGTATATGGGACATAATTTTACACCGGATTTTTCTTTTGGCAGATTCAGTGAGGTTGATCTATGGAGCGTGTTTCTATATTTGTTAATCACGTGTTAGGATCGAGATGTGTTTTGCCGCAAGGTTTTAAAAAAAATAGAATTTCAGGTACATAGATTTAGGTACAGGTTGATAAAGTGCAACCGAAGACTTCTAGTGTTGATCTTTTCAATATCTGAAAGCATTCAATTAAACGGTGAATCACTCAGAATCCTGCAAAATCCCGCAGGTTTTTCAGAATCGCGAAGAATCGGATTATGTTAGGAGATTGGTGAATGCCTCATTTGAGAGGCAAAGTGGGCTGCTCGTAGATTGTAGCTCATTTGAGAGGCAAAGTGAGCTGCTCGTAGATTGTAGCTCATTTGAGAGGCAAAGTGAGGTGCTCGTAGATTGTTCTTGCTTTCTTGATCATAGATCAAACCCATGGCCTAAAAATTGTAACCTCGCCTGTGTGTGGCACCCAGTTCAGTATTCGTCTAGTGTTTACGGCTAGTTTAACAGCTGGAGCACTGAAAAACTGCGCTTTACTTCTATTTAAAGTTCCCGTTTGTGTCACATATCAGGCTAAATCAATTGTGTGTTGTATTGTTGTGCCACAAGATCGTTTGATGTCTGAATGTGGTGCGGTGTCTATGTTTTGCAGAGCTGGTGGTTCGACGCCACTTGTCCCACTGGACGAGAGCAAGCCAGAAGCCAAAAATAAAAGCGTTATTAGTTTCTAATAAAGGCTTATATCCTGACTCCGCTGTGATGGTGGCCTTGAATAAGATTTCACACAAATGACCAAATTAAAAACTCACGAATTCCTGAAAATTTGCATTTAACTTCTCCTGTGATCTTAATGCTTTGAAAAGACATACTAACCAGCCCTCCGTTACTAACTGCTTTGAATTTTTAGGTGATATCAGAAGGCTACGCAGCCCATTTGAAGGAGCTTCCTTCCCACCCATTATCACGCCACGCTGTCGGGCCACTTTGTTCGGTGTTGCCATGGACCTGTTTTGGAATCCCACAAAGCAATGGGAAATCTAATAGGCAGCAGAAGACATCGGGGGTTAGGTTCAATTTGTTTAGCAAGTCCAAGCTGCAGCAGCCTGATAACGAGGCTGATGGTAGTTCTAAAACTGACACCCAAATCGCAATCCGCATCCGTCCGTCGTCACGTCACAGTCCGAGGAGATGATCATTTTAGCTTTCATCGTACGACATGCAGGCGTACTGTAGGTCCTTGATTGACTTTTAACTTATTATTAATAGTAATAATAATAAAAATAATGAGACATTATTTATACAGGGTGATTCATTCAGTCAGTTTACAATACATGATTAGCTGCTATCAAGAGAAGCCCTGTTCTTAAAGCATATAGAAAATAACAGATCTGCCATTTAAATCTTAATGTATTATAAACATGTTAAATATGTTGCTTGAAAAATTAATCCATAAAATTTTCTCTGAGTGCTTGCTTTTTTTTATTTTTTTTTATTTAAGCAATTAAAATATTAAGGCTAGGCAACAACTACTTGATATGGTGCCATTCATAGAGGGAACAGACACAAGGTCATCGAGTTACCTCTATAAATGGCACTTACAATATATTTAACCATTTTGTCACTCAAGCCAACAAGGGACAAGGAACAAACCAAAAAAGTTATTTAAGTTATTTAACCAAAAAAAGAAAATATAATAATAAAAAATAAATATAGGGTAGCTGCATTTAGTCAAATCGTTTTGTTTCTTTAAGAAAGGATATTGTAGCTTCCATAATTATTCTGTTAGCAAATACATTCAACAATGGAGATCCATACAGAAGCAGTGTGCATAAGGATTTTGAATCATATTGTGAAATGTCTAAACCAGGAATTTCTGAGGGTTGACCAAGGCAATGCAGGAGAGAATGTTCATTATCTTCTTTTGCTGTTCCACAAACGCAGACAGGGCTTAAACAATCAAAATTATGCCTGAATTTGTGCTCATTTAGTGCGCTAAATTGCAAACGTAGTTTAGTTAAATATCTAACACCTAAGATGTCATGAATGTTATATATAGAATTTCCCACTGGTCTTATAGCAGAAAGCAATTTGTTTTTAAACTGAACAACGGATACGGAATGTTTAACCTCATTGCCAAGCTTATTCCATTCCATCAATGTGTTTTGGAAATAGGTATTAGCAAAGCGATTGGTCCGTCTAATATTTTGGTCATAAACGCGTGGATTTCTAAGATTATATGTTAGCTGGCGTTCATTTTGAATCTCAGTGACCAGATATTGAGGTGAGCGCTGTTTCTTCAGAACAAAAAAGCGAAACATGCGTCGATACCATCAGTGCTTGCTTGAATGGGAGATAAAATTTAACTGTCTTTAAGTGCGTTGGCAGTGCGTTATAGAATGTATATCATATCAAAAAATGTATACAGATAATTTATGGATATGCATGTATAGGAAAATCTTAACTTATATCGTGCAGAGACAAGGCTGACTGCGTAATATAACCTATAATTTAAACTAACCTACACAAACACTTCAGAGTTTAACATGGCATACAAATTTTAACATAGGACAGACAAACGCAAAACTCTTTCTATTACTTTCTCCTTTTCTTTCACCAATTTTTAACGCCACGGTACTGCTTGATATTTCTTTATTTTCCTGTCAGATTTTGACATCATCTACCAAAACGTTCCATTGCGTGCAGCGCTAACTTTGCTTGCGTTTTGCGGGCTTCAACTGCGCTGCCGGGATTTATGTTTATCAAGTGGTACTCCTCCTGACTTAAATTGATTAAAAAGGCCCTGTTGTGAATTTGTACCGTTTTCCGCCGTCTAAACGAGGAAAGGGGTGTTTCGGATTGGTCAAGGTTTCTTTAAGAGCAAGATTGTTTGGAAAGACGAAAACAGTGCATTTTTGTGTCAACACAAAGTTAGAGCGATTTTTAACCAATCTGAGATGATATCAAACGGTATCTTGTAAACACAGCCTAAAGGATTCCACTGGTTACCACATCTCGCATTTCCATTCAGTAGAGTAATATGCAGTATTTGAAATAATATTGACGCGCTCTTAGCAAAAACCTTTAGAACCCAAAAGTTATATTATAAGATTTAGGATTGTTGCCGTAATGACAACGTTTAACACAGTAGCCTTTGTTATCATTCTATAGAACTTAGACTTACGATGTTAAAAACAGCGTATTTTTATTTTAGATTTCAAGATTGTGGCGTACTCATGTAATTAGTGCAAATTATTTCATTAATTAGTTTAATTTTTTTACATCATATTACACAAAGCAGGCTCAAATCAAACAAATTTTATTTTAATTTTTTGGTGTAGAAAATGTAATTGTGAAGTTGGAAACCTACGATTCGTTGATCGAAAAGTTTTGCAATTAATTGAATATTTATTGAAATTCAATGCAACTAGTGGTTCTTTTATGACGTTGTTAGAACAATTTCCTGGCCTGGTTTCGAGAACGGCCTAATTTTGCTCGCCTATTACGTAAGTTCACGGTCAGCGTTCTGTAATTTTTTGAAGAACAATGTCAACGGAAAATGCATTGCAAGCCACTACGAAGGAGTTTACGGGGACTTATTTTTATCAAGACACCCTGTGACCACCGCCACAACTCATACAAGTCCCATTGTACTTGATTAGAAGCGATATGTGTTGTTACCATCGTTTTCTTCTAATCGATTTTACGTTGTATTTCAGTGTGCAAAGCATGTCTTAGCAGTATCTTTGGTATCATATTGACCAGAATCATTTTTATGCAGCACTGAATATTACAGCGGCATCAAAGGAATATATTTTGGATCTGTTAGGGAATTTCTATTTTTCCAATGCCAATTTCCCTTTTTTTAGGTCTTTTCATTTTCAATAATATTTAGCTTGATATAAGATCTTCATGCCTTGCAGAACTAATATCGACATGTGGCAGGGTTGTTTATCTCCAGATATGTTGGTAGCTTTGTACTTCTTATCATCTCAATCTGCTGTCAGACTTTTGATTCTGAATTTCTGTCGACAATCTTTTTAATGATAATGAAAGTTCCCGCGTGTAGCAGGCACTGGGTGAAAATATACTTCATTTCTTTATGTTTTGAATCGTTACAGCCTCTTAGATTTGCAACTGCCCCTATGCGCTTACTGTTCTACAATAATCTGGCAAGGATGGAAAACATGCTTTTTGCATCAATTTCCCTTCTGTAAAAATTGGGGCACAAATTTATCATAAACATGCCAATAATTAGGTTGGTACATGATACGCCTTAACTTTCCAAATGTATCAGACGGCACACTTAAAAAATATTTATCCTCTTAAAATAACCGAAATAATTCGATTCTTTAGAAGGCCCCCTTCTCGACTACGCCCCTCTCAAGGCATTTTCTATTTGCACCACACAACTGGTCAACGCAACTCGTATTTTTTCCTTCTTCTCTAGTATCCAGTTCAGGCTAGAATATATTTCCAGTCTTTGAAATTTTAAAAAAAAATTATTTTAAGCAAATTGTATCAAAACAAGGCTCAGTAAGCGGAATTTTTTAAAAGAGCTTCTTCAATAAAGGACAAGTTTCCAGGGACAATGCTACTTCCATAACACGGGGTCGTCCAATGATATCTTTATTAGAATTTAGAACAGAAATATTTAACTATGAATACAAGTGCTATGGTAGCCTATACGGCGTAGTCCCGTGCTATGAAGATTTGGCTGGATAGTATCCCAGCATCCCTCGCCAGACAGCCCATGACCTTTGTTCTATATTAAACCCTAACTTCATTTATGTTTCCCAGTACCTTACAAGTGTGGCGTCAATAACAAGCGCATTCGTTGAACTTTCTCTTCTTCCATATCTTTCAGAAAGTTCTTGATTATCACTTTTCAAAATCTAAATGTGAATGTAGCATAACAATCGTTTCTGTGAACATTGCAAAGAAGGCTAACGCAGAAATTGGCTGGTTTCAGGCACAATATAATTATAAATAATTTTGCAAAAGTATTAAAATCTAATGAAATTTTCAAAGAAAATTCTCTCTTGTTGTCTCAAAAACCTGAAATTTGTACATGATGTGTGGATAACGGAAGATTATTAATTTGAACATTTCGTGTCACGAAGAAGATAATTTAAACGTTGTTAGACTAACTTACAATAACATACACTCTGCTTTAACGTTTTTCTTGAGCATAAAGACGTTTTCTTTGAAGTCATTATCTGTACGATATTATTGAAAAGATGCAAGCAAAGTGTCAACATGATTCATAACCTGTTGTAAAATTAAGCTAATGTGTTTACTGTTGAAGCTAAGTTGAAGGCGTCATGCCATATTTTGACAACTATTAAGGCCTACGTTGTCAAAATTTTCTCTGAGCGTCGATATTGGCCTTGCCATTGCTACATAAAACCAAAGCGCAATATTTCATGACAGAGTTGTACTGAACATTTGTCGTAAGGCCACAGTAAAGTGACCATAAATTTATCCAGATAGGAAACTGTCTATAATAGGAACGTAGCAACTACTTATTTCACAAATAGAACGTTATTCGATAACTCAAATTCGTTATATAAGGAAGTAAAACCCTATTAGCAGTACTCTTCCAGGAACTAAGAACCTAACGCGTATGGTATCTTTGATCATACGCTTTTGCCACGCAACGAAGTAAAACGACATTGACGTGTGTCTGCCAACCCTAGGAACTATAATATACATATTGCTGTCCTTGGTACATGTTATTCTCGCTGCAGTGTTGTAGCTTACTAAACATTGGTTTATAATCGTTCTTTTGGTGGTACCCAAGCTGTACAGGGTCAGGGTAGTTTCTTGGTATAGCCGAAATTATGTTAGAAAACATTCGCAAGTCTATTTCATCGCAACCAACTCTTTCTTGGCCATCTTCTTGTTTGCAAACTTGTGGCAATCGCTTCAAATTGTTTTTGTCAGCAAATTGAGAAGCTGGTAGATTGAAACAGTCGTCATCCGGGTTCTTTCTTTTTTTGCTGCTAGTTATATCTGCATCTAGAATGAACATTTAGAAACTATTTTAAAGAAGACATTGAGAAACACAAAGAAACTTCGTTTTTCAAGCTGAATTTCCCTATTGTCGCCTTAAACTAAAGTTTCGCGCTGGTTGTCAATTTCTGATGTACAAATTCTGCCATTATATCACTTACCTCTCTTGCAATTTACGTTATCCTCTTCTTGCGCTTTGGCATCTCCATGTCTTGCTATTGCTGACTTTGAATCCTTGACACTTTCTCCTTCAGATGGGCTACTCGGTGACGGTGACCCTGCTTCAATCCTGAAATCAAAGAGTCCATGTTGAATGGTTGCTCAAAACAAAAAAAGGTTTACAATGTAGACACCCTAAGAAAATCGTTTCTCTTTGCTTGAGAATCTCTGTTAGAAAATCTTTCTTATATCCCAAGCGGAATGATTCGTTACCATTATATTTGATACCTTGAACATATGATACAAAAATTTTTTATAACTGGACACAGTGTTGGAGGGATACTACTGTGATCATAAAGGGTCACTTATCGAAAATGTTTAAACTTGAGTGTCTCAAAATAACTAATTCTTAACATAGATTACTAATGAGTATTGCATGAATTATTCTGCAATACTTCTTTGACCATCCCTGCCTTTCTCCACTACGCTTTGTACTTTCGATGGAAATGTAATTAATTGTCCACTCTACGTTGCTCTTACAAGAAAAAACATTTACTTTGATGCAGAGGTTCTTCTGTGACCAGCTCCTTCGTCGCGGAATCCTTTTGCAAACGGATTGTTGTCTATCTTCAACTGAGTAATCTGAAAAAGAGGAAAGACCTTGTCAATAAAAGATGAAAATTATAGAAAGAGGTGCAGGGGAAAAGCGAAAATGTAGCATACTGAAAAACGTTTCGTCCGACACGCCTTGGATCATAAAACATCGTATGATGACCTAAGGGGTTAGCGGGAATTCAAGTAAGAGGGATAATTGTGGTTTTCTTGCAGCTGTAATTCGATTAAGATTCGATTATTTTCCTAGCTCAACAAGCTAGAATGTGTAGAAGACAATTTTCCTATCTCAACAAGCTAGAATGTGTGGAGGACTGAAACCTTTTGTTTTGTAAACAGATCTTTGGCCACAGCGCATAGGGGAATTCGCGTCTTTTGCAAATTAAGACCTTTCTGAAACAGTACAGTACTACTCTCAAAGAATAAAAATAATGATAGAACTTTACTTTACTAGCTCTCTAACAACGAAATGTTGCCTTTCATATTCTGTCATGCAAATTACCTTTTTTGATATAGAAAACATTACTTAGAGTATAATGGAAATCCTACCTTTTCATTCTGATAAGCTGTGACACCAATAAACTCGGTCTCCTTGAAAGTATAAGTCTTAAAGTTGCTCCAAGGTAGCCTCGTTATGTCGCCAGTTTTCACTAGATGTATCCGAGGTTGGTACTTATGCATCGAATTGAGTATTGCCTTGAAAAAAATTAGACTTACTCATTGAAATAACTCTTAGTAAACAATATCACATTCTTTTTTGATAACAAACACATTGCCATGTATTCTGCTTAAAAAAGGGATTTTGCTACCAAATTTGGTTCCGATTATTATTGAAAACAAAGGTTGAATTTGGGGACACAGAAATTCAATATTGTTCAAAAGAATAGCCCCATTCTTTCCACGCTAATAAGAACTTTTGCAGGATTATGAGCTGAGATAAAAAATAGAAGAGAAAAATGAATAACTAATATTGAGTATGAATTCATTTTAAGAAACAAAAAACTATCTTTTTATCTTTTCCCAACATTATGGCTCATTAAGATACTCAATTGCATGTAATTATACTCCAGTCTAATTCCATTTATATCTTCAATCTCTGCTATTGAAAAAAACATCTGATAAAAATTTGGGAAATAAGATGTTATCATGAAAAAAGTGTGTGGCCCTTACATAGCCATTTTTGTCCGTTGAATTGTTTGTTAATTTGAGCTTCTGAAATGAAATCGTCTTTTCCATCCATTGTGCCCCTGTGCATGGTGATGCTGGGTGTATATACATTCGCTTTGTTTGAGACGCCTCCCCGTTCCCCCCAACTGTCCATCTACTAGCATGGTACTTGTATCGATAACAGTCAACTGGAACGATATCCATTAAGAATATGTAGTTCGCTTTTGGATCGAGGCCGCGAACTCTCAGTTTCACTGCTGGGAACATTCGTCTAGAAGAAAAACAGCAGAATATGATGGAGTTTTGAGGAATTGCGCAGGAGTTTGGTTTTTCTGAACAGCAATTTTCAAAGTCTTCTTTTACGTAACTAGATCCCAGTCCCTTTGCTTGAACCGTCGGAGTCAAGACTTGGAACAAAGAATTTTACTTCAATTTGACTGCTAGAACATAAGTATGGTTTGAACTTAACTTCAAATTTGAGGGGCTCAAGTTGAGGACCTATGCATCTCAGTTTCCCACATTTTTGTTTATGGTTAACGCATATCTACGTACAATTGGTGTAATATCGCCGCGTATGATTTTCTATAAACTTGGAAACAAAAATGCCACATTTGTATTGTTTCACTGGGAACCTTACGCCTAGTCCTTCGTTTTTAGATCGCAAAAGATCAAGTTTAAGAATTGTTTTACCGATATGCCGTCGAAATCCCTTTCGATTTTCATTGATTTTTCATTACATAAAACATTCAACCTTGTAAACCATTTAACAACCTCGCCGAACCCCCATCTTTACCTGGCCAAGATATACCCCACGTGTTCCTAACCCATAAAAACTCAAGTAAAATCCCTGCTTCTATAGCATCGCGATACTTATGTCTCCGTTGGGAATTTTGTTTCTAAGGAGATTGAAATGGAGGAGTTAACAATAATCTTGCTTTGTTATTCAGCACTCAAAACAACGCTGAGGAAAATCTCTATTTAGATGTTTTCACGCTTATTCATAACGCATAACGTATTCCCTGATTGATTTTAGACACCATCCCTGTTACGCAAAGATTGTAAAAAGTGCGCGAAGTGTTAATTAATGGTCGTTTTTCGTATCCTAATTTTTCACTGTGACATCTTTAAGGACCAACTTCTTTCGTCCGCTCAACGGAGATTGTTTGACTGAACGAAGTAAAACTCCATTCGAAGTAAAATTTGGCCTTTCTTGTTACGAGAAAATGAAAAGGCTGTAGAGCGAACAATTGGTATATGAATGGGAAGAACAATTATGAAAAAAGTTTACATCGACTTTTTGTTTTTGCATTCTAAGTGGAGTAAAATGGTGTTACTCGCAAACCTCTAAATTATTTGTAAGCATACCTTCCTGCTCTTGTAATGATCATCTCTGTGACGTATTGGTTAAAACTCTTCCATAGATTCTCATTATCCAAGGTGACTTCGATGTTCCTGTCATCTTCCATTTGCTCCATTGGTGGTGGTGGTATCATATTGTTTTGCTGCGGTGGTGGAAAATGATGCAACGGGTACGCGTCCTGCTGGGGTTGATAATTGTGGTAGGGCATGTTGAAGTGGGGGTTGTAAGGAGCCATTTCTGTCTGAGGTGTTGTGTTGAAATCCGGGTAGTATGGTTGGTTCCATCCTGCATCTTGCTGTTGGGAGACTTCGAAAGGATTCGCTTCAAAGCCATCATCTTGAAACGGACGATGGCAAAAAGCTGATGAAAAATCCCGTTGATTCGAATTGCAAAAATTTTGGTAGCCATAACTAGGTGACTGGGAAAACGCCATTTTTCGTTGTTTGCGCTAAAAAGATCACGTTTCCTCGCACCTTACCAACTCTATTTTCACAACAAGAAACTCGTTCCTTGTGCTATCTGCCACTGGTCCATACAAAGCAGCCAATCAGAAGGGACTACATTATTTAGCCTTTTGTTTCTATGGAGAGTAGAGGCAATTAGATTCATTGGACTTAGTACGCCTTCACACCTCCCTTTTGTTAAGAGTGACGAATTTACCGGCTAAAAGCAAGTCAGCGGTGCGAGTTATGTTTTCAATGCGGTTGTTGCTCTTAATGATCCTTATGGGCCGGGTGTGGGGCGAGCCCTTGTCATGACAAAGCCCTTGGGGGCCACCAATACATGAATCAAAATAATCGACAACACCCCGAAAGTGACTAATTTCCTTCACATGTGCCAGCCAGGTGTCATGTTTCTCTCCTGGGCACTATTCAGCAAATCTGATGGAATTTTTCTTCTTCTCATTCATTTTGAAGAAATTTTTATTGATCTCTAACTTAAACAGCTCTTTTCGATAGGTTTTCTTTCGCTTCGATAATATTTTGCATTTTTTCCATTCTTTTTTCATTCGTTTAGAATCCAGGCTAACTTTCTCTTTAAGCAATTAAAGAAACCAAATACCTGAACATGAAAAGAATTACAAACTTTCATATATCTTAAGATCATCAAAAACAGTCAATACCAAACTCCACTTTGATGCCCTTGGAAGATCGCCCCATTTGTTTACTCGTTTTGGACTGGAAACTAATGACATCACTACGCAAATATTATGGTCAGCTAATTCCACTTTTTCTACCATACATGGTGCTTTACAAAATAAATGTACACTTACATGATGTTTTCAACTCAAGTTCGTCAAAACAGACTTTCAATTGTCTTTATATCCCTGCCCAAATTATAGCCTTTGATAAGATAAGATTATAGCCTATGATTTTTGACAGAATTCAGAAAGTTCCAGTTTTTGTAGAAAAGCATAACTAAACTAATGTTACAAGATCATCTTGATAGTGGTACATTCAAGGGAACGAAGAAAATTGATCGAGCTTATGAGTGTTATCGTCAATATGAAGTAATTTGCCATATGAAGGATGAGAACAAGCAATAAAGCCGAAGATACGAGCAAGCTATTCTTGGTTTTGACGAAATGCTTGTAGGAATCATTCTTCAGCAGTTTACAATTACCACGAATATCAACAATGTCAATGTTAAAAAGACTTTTTAACATCTCTCTTGGTAAAGCTGATACCCAGCCTTTTTAAAATTGCTCAGCGTTCACGCCGAACAAGCAATAAAGCCGAACAAGCAACAAGCAATAAAGCCGAAGATACGAGCAAGCTATTCTTGGTTTTGACGAAATGCTTGTAGGAATCATTCTTCGGCAGTTTAAAATTACCACGAATATCAACAATGTCAATGTTAAAAATACTTTTTAACATCAGTCTTGGTAAAGCTGATACCCAGCCTTTTTAAAATTGCTCAGCATTCTCGTTAGTTTTTATCATGTCAAAAAAAGCAAAAGTGCTTAACAAATTTGACAGTTTACATATACGACATTCTTTTTGCACAAGTATGAATGTGTTTTGTAACGGGACGATCAATTAGGAGGCAATGAAGGGTATGGTAATAGTTAAGTAACCTAACTAGGTTTTCGAATTGACAGTGCGCTGCAAGCCCCTCCAGTCAGTCCCTTGATTGAAACCTGAACAGAAGCATACCTAAATTCTCTTGTTGAAAGATTTTTTTGAGGAAATTTGAGGCGCACTATCATGCCCTCGTAAAAGAGCCATTCAATTTATAATATATGGTGCTCAAGGAAAACTTTGACCAAAGCTTGACGTATATTGTGGTAACATATATATAGTACATTTTAACTCACCAGCTTTAAAAGGCGAATAAAATCTTGGAAAGGAGAGGAATGCAACTGTAGACTGTGTAGACCTTTCGTGGCTCAGGTTGGGTTCTTGAACGGATAAATGTATTGTATTGTAAATGCTAAAAATGCTGTAAAAACATTGTAAAATACGTATATATGTATTTGTACTTAATTATTTCTCATGTTAGATATATATGTATTTTTATTCTTTTTATTCTTAAACAATTTACTTTGTAGTAGGCTTGAATTAGCTTTTATTCTGTAGCTATTTTTATACGCCTACTTTAAATAACTAAATAATAAAAATAAAACTCCTATAAAGTACCAAATGAAAAAATGTCTATATTGCCTTGATTAATAATTTTTATGTCTTTAAAATACAGGTTACAATGGTGTAAAATGATCATGATGAATATGAACTAATGTCGATTGCAGTTTTGCCCATTCTCAATAAGAATGAAATATATGAGCATTCTGTTAGTTGTTCTGTTTGAGTGGGCTCGTGAATTAGATTTCGTAAAATAATCTAAATAATCAGAGAGTAATTTTACAAATAACTCTGGTATTTTACTATTAGGAAGTAATCAATAACTTGAAGTTGCTGCCATGTAAAAAGAAGTTCAGATTTAAACTTCAAGGCTTTTAAAGCTGAACTTCCGCTAAAATCCTAATTTTATTGCACATTGACATCAAGTTTTGTTGCCTGATTTTTGTTAAGATGTTTTATCAAACAATAAGTTTGAAGTCGCTAGCTTGACAGGATCTTCAAAAGATGGCCAAAAAGTGAACAGGAACTAATACTGGATGCATGCGGGTAGTCAAGCTTTTGCTTGTGAATTTTGCATCTTTTCTGAACCCTTGAAAGATCGTTCCACGATGCAAAGCCTCACACTGTAACAGTGAAAAGCTAACACTAAAACGCCTTTCTTAACAGAGGTAGCCCCGGGTACTGATGTTGATATCATAGGAGCCCATAAACGGGTGTGTTGATAAGAACGAAGGGTCCATTAAGAGAAATAGAAGAATGGACCCGGGGTGCAATCATATACGCTCACTCTTACCAGTCCACCACTGCTTTTCAAATGTCCATATGTAACAATCTAATTTGTTTGTTCTCGCAGAGGTTGGAGGTGAATTGCTTACTAGAAGAAAATGGCAACATAGCTACTTCGGAACTTCTTAAGATTTTGGAAATTAACTTTTGGTTGTACAAAATTGGACTGCGAAAATCTTTAAGACTTGCAATTTATCTAATAATCCTTACTTAGCCCCAGCATATGACGCTGTATTTCTCGAAGTTTTGCAATATGGTACATTAGCAATAATTTTGACTTTTCTCCCGAATTTTGGAATGTGTTTAGAGCAAATGGTCATTTGACTTAAATGTTGATAACTTACTTTTGCGTAAGGATACTGTTATAGCGATTTCATTAAACCAAGAAGAGTAAAAAACCTCAAGAATCAATGATTTATGAGGCATTTAATCCTAAACAAATTATGTAGTTTATTCAAATATAATTTGAGACATGTAATGTAATTTCTAATTTAGGATTGCTTTAGAAGTTAACCTCAACTTAGCAAATTTGCAACTCATTCAGAATAGTATTTAGCAGTAAAAACGAGGGATGCGGTCATGAACTACCTTGTTATTCTTCTTTGCAAGAAGGTAAACGACATCAAAATTCAGATCTCGTATTTGAGCCAAATGCTCTTTTCTTACCCAAAAATTTCCATTTTGTGTTTGTGCAAGAAGGTATAAATTTTAAACTTTTTGGAAACCAATGCCCTTTCTTTAAAAAGGATTGAAAATAAAAATGTTTAATATTAAAAGTAGAAATGAAATCACAAATTGACTTTAATGCTCTTCAATCACTCCAAGGACAATTTCTACATAAAATGTCAAAACACACTTCCATTCTTTATCGTCAATATGAAATTTTCATATAAGGGTATAATATAGCATTCTTATAGTCCTTCTCTTTTTGATGAAAAAAGACCAGAGAGCTCCTGATGTCCTCTCTTTTGCAAAATAAAATCCCTAAAACAGACTATTTCTCGCATCCTAACATGCAGAGTTTGCTAGTAAGCCTAAATAAAAGAGAAATTGTAAAGACTTTCTTTTTCAACCATTTAAAAGACTTTTTAGGGCATTTTTTACTCCAGTTTTTAAGTGGCTTTAGCCTCATCTGATAGCAAGCCTGAATTTCAATTTACTTGCTTTTTAATAGGCAATCTTTGATGAAAATTTCAAGGATCTGAAGCAACTTACTATATTCAAAAAATTTTTATGTTGTTACTTCAAAACAATTTTTTGGTGTAGTTTTTTAATTTTGCCTAAGGAATCTCTAACCACATGCACTATAAAATTGTAAATTATAAATTACAAATCACTCGGAAAATTTCCAGGTTTTTCAAATCGAATTTGAAAATCTGAGAACTTCGTTGAAAGAACTTTTACCCCCTCCACTATGGATAAAACAGCAAACACTAAATAAAATTTTGAGGGAAGTTTCGTGTAAGCGCGTTTATTTACAAAGCACGATCGATGTTCCAGCCCTTGTTTACCCTTCAGATAGTCTACGCATCATTGGGTGTGGAAGTCAGACAACTCCCACTAGGACGAGTGGCATGTTACCTGCGAAAGGAAAAACAATTATTGCAGATGATACAAACAAGCAAAGTCTAGCAAGATCAACAAGCTTGTTGCCATAGAGACGTTGCAAGTTCCAAATGATCGCCTGCTGAGGTCAGTGAATGGACTCTACGGAAGCACTGTTTTCTCGCGCCTTGTTTCTGATGTGTCGATGTGAATCAAATAGAGGCTGCCTATTGCGTTTGATTTGACCACAAGACAAAATGGCGCTCAGACATAAGAGCGTGTTTCTGTTCATTCCACTTACACAGACAATCAGGTTTCTAAGTACCAGGTAACAAAAATAATAATATTATCCAGATATATTACTGTTAGTTTTTTTATGGCATGATGATTGCTTTATTTTTCTTAAACTGTCAGATTAAACCGGGGGACACTACTAAAAGTATAAAAATATTGTTTGCAAATCTAAACTCCGATGGTATTTGATTCTGGAAGCCAAAGGGAAACTGTCTTGAATGATGATTGATATAATGAATAGAGAGAAGTTTTTATGTGAGTAGAAGAAAGCTTTCTCGTTTATAAGAGAGGTTTATTTTGCCTAAAACGATCAAACAGTTTGTCAAGAGGGAGTAAAAGCTATGTAACTGAAAATCTAAAGACAGAGTCATAAAGTTTGACTGATTGGTCTACCAAAATACATGGTCATTTAAAACTGATGAGCTAGTTCAGTTCTTCTTCGTTTTCACGATAGGCATCTACTTGGATCGTGCTCCCATGACTCAGTTTAAGGCCAAAATTTACAATTTTAGCCTTTTCTTAGTTGAATTGCCTGAAAAATTTGTTTTTGGACTATTACCTAAGTTTGGCCTTCTTGTCCTTTTCAGCAGAAATTCTCATTTGAAAGAGTAATAACTACATTAATGGAATAATTAGTAGTTTACTACACCCAAATGTCAAATTTTATCATCTGTATGTCACACAAAAAATAGATCCTAACAGTCAGATACAGATTGTTTCTTATTTGAGTTTTAAGAGATTATTTAAGAGACACATGCATAGAAATATTGACAGCGCATTCAAAATGTATTTTTGCGGAAATATTTTTTTATTTGGCCTTTTTATGAGCATTTGGCTTGAGTTGCCTACCTGTCTGGCCTTCTTTTGTAATCAAATCAGGCAACCCTGGTTATTAAAGTCATTTAAAAAAGCAAAGGGGAGGTTTCTAACAGAAGAAAATAACCTTTTTATTTAGTTAAACCTTTATTTCACAAATGAAAGTAACACCCAAATTAACCTGTGAGGATACTGAACCAAAGAAAATACTGAACCAAAGTGAATCAAGTTTTGTAGCACATAATTCAAGTATAAAACTGAACTGATTACACAAATTAGCATACCTATATGAAATTATGATTTTCTAGAATCAGCAAAAATTACATTTAAGAGAACAAATCATTGGAAGTTCAAGTTAAGACAAGTGAAATGAATAGTGTGGCAGATAGAATGTAAACAATACAGCTTAGCAGATATGTGATATTGCCACTGACATAGGGAATGCCTGTGCTATGGTGTGAGAATGTGAAGGAATATCTAAGCAGAGTCACGGCATGTTTAAGATCCAAAAATATGAAATGTAAAAAAAAGTGGTTGGTGGTTGCAGAGCTACCATCAATTGCAATGATTGCTATTGAGAACAGGTCTTTTCTTCATAAATGTCTTTGTCAACATCAATGTTATCATCCATCAATTATTACTGTTTATATAATTTTAAATTGCAAATTTTCTAGGCTTGCTGAAGTTGGAAGATTTGAAAGGCCCAAGACTCAAGGAAAATATGAATCTGGTCAGGTATGAGAGTTTCTAAAAAGATGTTACTCATTTTGTTGTGTCTTATATCTTATGTTGTGTCTCAGTATTGTTCTGTGCTCATAAGTGCTGTTCCTTCAGAACTTTTAGATAGTTGTGTACTGTTTTTTATGTTTCCAATTGATGTTAGATAAATTAAAGTTTTGAAATTTGTTGTGAAGTTTCTAAGAATATGTAAACAACGTTTGTAACAACAGTCTGCATGTAAGGGGAATATTGTTTACCATTTTTTTAATATGGAGTATCTTACAGAATAGCAAGCCTTGAAATCTTTATGATGAGCGATTCTGCCAAGTCTAATTCCTTCTTAAACTATTGGCTTTCAGCAATGTTTACTGTTTGTGAAACTGGGCTCTCGCAAACAGATGCGCTTTGACCAAACAGCCTTTTTATAATATTCACCTCCTGTGATCCTGCTGCAGTACAAACAGCTTCTTTTTCTAGGACTGCTCAATGACATAATGTTGAAATATCTTTACGGCTTTGGTCATGTTAAGATAGTAGTAACAAAGGACAGTAACATCTTCTTGATGCACTGTGATTCTCTGTCCCATCAAATCTCACTTCAGTTGCAGTGGTGGACTCACCCCTCCACCAGCATCAACTCAACAACATTGTCCTGCAGCCTTGCTTTGTAGAAAAATTGAATGTATTGGGATATATTTTGATGTTATAATTCAGGTTGATTTTTTGTAAAAGGAAAGTAATGAGACATTTTTATTCAAGTTTTCTCTTTCAATATAATACTTCAATGTGCTGCACCTGTCATGTTATATTAAATCATTTAGGTGTCTTTCTAATGCTTCTTATCTATCGTTACAGCTATTTCTGCATAGAATATTCGGCTATAGAGGTGTTGTCTTGTTCCCTTGGGTGGCAAAACTCTATGACAGAGACCTTCAAAAACAACCTTCAGATGAAAAGTAGGTGTCAAATTCTTTGAAAAAGTAGTGTTTTTCTACAAAAAGAGAGTTTCTCAATGTTCTTGTATTTCTGTATCATTAAATTATTTGAATATTGCACAAAATACTGGAAACATAACATACTAAAGCACCTTTTGTCTGAAACTCATCAGATTGTAAGCGTCAGATGATGACTGAAAATTTATAGTCAGGAGTGGATTGAAAGTAATGTGAGATGAAGAAAGACGCATTTGATTGGCTATCTCATAAAATAATTGTAAATATACCCAGCTCATTATTGCAATCTACTACAAACAACTTGTTGTATATATATTTTTGTGTTAATTATTTATCAATCATGTTTTATTTACTGCAGAGCGACAGACAAAAATGTATTAAAAATTATTGTTATTATTAGAATAATTATGTTGATAATGAGCATCACAAATGAACAGTTAACAGGTTTTGCACACAGACATGAACATTATATGATCAACACACAACCTTTATTCTAACTTTTGTATTCCTTACCTCTGCTTTTGGTTCTGTTCAACGATAAGTCACTAACCTAGAGACACATACCCTCATTTTCTGATATTGCTACATGTTGTTCCAACAGTATGTTTTAAAATGTTTTAATTTTTTTAAATTCCATGTTAAGCCCAATATCATTAAAAATTGTTTTAAAATTTCTATTATATAAAAAAACTTTGAGTTCCAAAGAATAGCACTTTAGTCCTTGAAAAAATTGCAACACTACTGCCCATTGCTGAAATAGCTTAATTGTTTGTTTCAGTGATAATGAAGAAGATATTCTTTCAAGGCCTACCTCAGCAGAGTCTCTTCAAAATAATGATAATGAAGATGATCTGTCTCCACGTGTTGGCCGTGAACTGAAAGGAGAAACAGTTACCTACTACCAATCCCTTATTGATCAAAGAGATTGTCCCTTCATAGTGAGTATTGCATACTTATAGATTTGATCCACCCCCACATATTCCCCCCTCTACTTTGCCCAACTCAGTAAATATAGCCTTATGCAAATATGTTTTTGTTTGTTATTTATTTCATATTCAAATCACATAAAGTGTATTTTCCAACCGTTAGATTTCAATGCAGGATTTGTGGTTTTGAAGCATTGTTTCAAATTAATAATTAGTTATTCTGCTCAGATTAAAGTTGTTTTGCTAAATTGATTATAGTCTGGAATAGGCCCAACTCATCAAGATTAAGACCAGCTTTTACCTATGTTTTAATATGCAAATGCTTCTATTTTCTAATGAAAAGCACTACGTATATCAAGCAGTTTTAGTTAGAATATTTAATTTTCAGTCAATTTCTTCTTTTATTGTTTTTTGCCATATGTGTAATTTTTTCAACGTATCAGTGGATATTAAAGGTTTAGTTGATATTATATTTTAGAAATTCTTTTACACCCTATCGTCAAAAGGGTATTTATGTAGGCCCATTGGAGACTCACAGGTCCCTCACCAGATTCCCACTATACAGTTTAATCGTTGTATGCATTACATTGCAGAGAGCCCAACCTGAAGCAGTCACATTTCTGGGAAATCAGAAAGACACATCACTTTATGCTATCCCTGGTTAGTTGACATTACACTTTGCGTTTAGGTTTCAAGACTTTTCGTTTACGTTTTCCTTTTACTACATCCAACTTAAATTTATAATACATTGTTTTCAAGTCCATAACAGCAGATACGAATTTATTGGGGGATTTATTGGGCTCTTGATGCCCCCCTTAATATTTGGTTAAAGTAAGCTTTTTCAGTAGAATCTCATCTAAAGATTTGCCTCTTTTCGGCAAAATAACCAATATGTCGTTTAGACATCCTCTGCAATATCTAGGTCTACCTCCAGATAAGAATCTTTAGTCAAAAACAAGTGTCAGTTTTGTTTAGACTTGCAATATGGAAAAATGAACTCTTTTTCCCTCTCATACATAAATATTGAAACTGCCTTTGAACACACACCCCCACCTCCCCGCCCCCCCCCCTCTCTCGGTTCTGTTTTCTGATGTCATTCCTTTTAATTCAAAGGCCTCGATTATGTCAATCACGAGGACGTTCTTCCTTACACAACAACAGAGGACCAACCAATACAACACGAACTTTTTGAGCGATTCTTAATTCACGATCCAGACCGAGGTAATTTTTTTAAGATTATATGTTATATGTAATTTCGTTTTCTCAAAATGCACTGTGGCCCAAGCGACAGTTCCATATCGTTTTGTTAAAAGAGATGAGTTATTTTTTTATATTGATAAGAAAACAAGCTACAGCTGATAATTATCAACCCAGTCGTAGTTTTAGCTTAATTTTTTGTTTCAACTTGCTATTGTACCAAGTTCAATCCGGCATAACTGTTGTTTATCGTAACTTTTCGCAGTATTCAGTCTAATCAGACTCTGTTTGATATGTTACCCAATTGCTTGGATGTTTCATTTACGCAAAGGGTTCGTTAGTTAACATTATCCAACGAATCTTTTCAGTACCATCATTCAGTGCGAGCGAAGCCTTAAGGAACTGGCATGGCAAGAATCATAAATGGTTGGAACTGTCAGATGTCCACAGGGAAACAACAGAGGACATTCGAGTTACTGTTATACCATTTTTCATGGGATCGAGGGTAGGCACCTTCTCTTGATCAATTCTTATTGTTGTGTACCAACTATAATGTAACTTTATAAGTTCCTTACATTCCTGATTACTCTACTCGACCTTGTTTCTTTTTTATTGTAAATCGCAAATTATATTTGTAACAGAGAGATTGAAATTCAGCTTGAATTGAGAGCGAGTTTCTTGGTTATTGTCCGCGGCAGAAATCGATCTGATAATTCAATTGTTTGCTATAAATAAATAGGATTTTCTTTTCAATGATAAATATCATCCTGTATTTAATCAAGTAGCTCTGTAAAAGTGTTCAAAATGTTGCCATTATTGGATAAAGTTTTAATATCTCGAATCTTGATCTCATGTCTAGTGTAAGAATGTACATCTTGATATTTGAAGCCACCAAAAATTCTGTGATGAGAATGTTTTGTGAACTGACCCGGGTGTGTCTTTCATGAGGCCAATGAGTTAAAGAGCAATTGTTTATCAAGAAAGCAAGGATGAAGTAATTAGATATTCAATATACCAGTCAGACAATTGTCTATTCTGGCTGGAAGTTCATTTCGAATTTTTATCAAACTTTGTAGTTCAATGCCCATTTAGGTACTTTTTCCTTTTTTACAGAGCATTCAAAAGACGCAGAGCTTTTGGGTAAGTAGCTATAATGTGTCTGATTGGCAAAAGCACTTTGGTTATTTGCTTGAAGCCTACTTCTGTTATGTTAGCTATTATCAGTTACTATGAACTATTATAACTATTATTATAGTGATGAATAGCGATAAGGGCCTTGGATGCAAGGCGCTGAGAATGAGTTGACTTAACACTGCTGCTAGTGAAAAGTAATAAGAAAGCACAGAAGAAAAGGGGAGAGAAAACAAACAGATAAAAGGATTGGGAAGTGTAGAATGGCTGAAATTGTAGCATACTCGTATTTGCCTACATCTCATCTTAAATTCTCATCAAAAAAGGAAGGTCTATCGTGATTTCGGACAGCCACCTTGAAAAGGATATTGTAGTGCTTTGTTGTTGAACACTTGCACAGTTTAAAGATATTATGAATTTCTAACTTTGTAAGCAGGCACTGACGTCGGTAGAACTCATCATTTATCATCAAACATGTCATCAGATTGCTATTTATGTTACTTTTTATAAGTTTTTAATTTTATGGTTCTTTGAAGGTGGTGAAATGATTTTTGCCTCTGTTTCTGTTGCCAATAGTTTAGTAAAAAAGATATTGCAACTCTTCTCAGTGCTCCGGTCCACAACAAATAAAAAATGAAAATTACAATGAAAATTGCATTTCTTTTGCATGTAAAACGGCAAATTACACTGAAAAGGCAAGAAATATACTTTAAGAGCATTTCCCTTTAAAAGGAAAAAATTCTATGAATGGCAACTCTGAGCATTGTAAAGTCCAGTAATAAATGAGGGAGATTTTATAATGTCCCTCATTTCGAGCTTACAGTTGAGATCGATCGATGGGTTTTTTATATTAGCAGCACCATTCTATAATCCTGTAATGTTTTTTTATAGTGGAGATACAGCATTCGACTGGAGAATCTTGGTGTAAATACGCTCCAACTGCGCGAAAGGCACTGGAGGATTTTCAGTCTTTCAGGAACATTAGAGACAGTTAGAGGGAGAGGGGTTGTTGGGCAAGAGCCTGTACTCTCACCTAGGCAGCCTGCGTTCCAGTACAGTAGCCACGTCTCTTTACAAGCACCTAGCGGACACATGTGGTAAGTTCTGGTGTTTTGTTTTATAAGAATATAGCTTAATTTGACATTATCGTTTTTTCTTTGGGTTCAATCGGCAGAACATGAGCAGATTCATGTTGACATTAAACACAAAGGCGACTTCATGTTTCTCATAGTGTAGCCTCATAAGCGGTCAGCTTCTAGCCATTGAGAATTGAGCGCGCGAAGACAAGAGCAAAGCCGCGTTGAAACACTAAAACAGAGCAAAAATTTTAATTGGTACAACTTTAAAAGGAACTTAAATCTTACCTTTTGCGCCTGCAAACTCAATCCGGTACGAATCCATGGAAGTTAAGGCAATATATTTTAAACCTTGAAAGTAACCGTAGCCAATTGTATTGTAATGTACTTTTTATTTTTGTATTTCATAACTGAATAGATGAATATATAGATGAGATTAAATGGCAATGAAATGAAACCCCTAGAGGAGTCTCTGTTTACCCTTGTAGGCTGCAGGAGGGAAGGTTCAGAAATTGATGGCTTTCTTTGAAAGGACCCTTTTTGATATACCATTATTTCTACAACAATAGTTAGAGCTTCCAATGGCATAGTTGTAAAGCCACCCAATACAAATGTGCAGTTTTTAGAAGGACCCCTGAAATCCATATTTGATAAGGATTCCCTTTGTTTCTTTACAGGGGCACTTACCGAATGGAGCGTCCTGATGGAACTGTGTTCGACGTTCGAATTCCGCCATTTTCACTTGAAAGTAAATAAAGCAAATCGATGAATAAATGTATACGAATATCCATCCAGAGGCTGTGAGCAACTTGTAAAAAAAGAAAAGAGCAATAATATTTTGAATTAGCATTCAGTTTTGTGAGCATATAGCTAGCAATTAATTTCCACTTTTACGCAGAATCCTTTTTTCAAATCAAATGTAAATTTATCATTCAGATATTCTTCGAAAGTATTTTCGTGACAAGCACGTTTTCTATTTTGAAGCTCATTAACAAGTTTAGTCTGCTAGATCTATAAAGAAGTCCCACATGCAAATTTTTGCTGACTGAATTTATAGTAGCTGATCTGCACACGATCTCTTGTGTGCCTATCGATTATTTCAACCTAAACAAACATCAAAGCCCTAGGAGCAATATGCCTTTCTCCTAATTGCGTCATGGTAGTTAGCTCACGCAAAGCATTCTGGTACTTATTAGCAATTACAATAATATTCAGACCAAGTCGCACATATCTGACCATAACAGCTGTGAAATTTTATAATTTAGAAGTAGATTCAGGTGGATGATATTGTTCATCCTGGTACAAATTTTAAAATTTTTAGTCCTATTAAAAAAGTCCATCTTCCTACGAACATTCTTTTTTCCTCCCTATTATACGACTCACACAACGTGACGTCAATATTTGGCTCCTCTTATTTTAAAGGCAGTCTGTCCCCTCAATGATTGGCTAATATGAACAATAGGTCTTCCCGCCTTAACGGATGACGGATTACGATGCTTGCTTTGGCTGGCCTAGCTGCGGTAGTGGATGACATTTGAAACTTCGAGCAAAAAGCTATCGGGAATGGCAAGAAGATTTAATTACTGGAATTAAATGATGATAATGGAAGCATTTCCTTTCGCTATTTGACATATTTGTCGCAGAAACCAAACAGGGAGCCATATTTTTTTAGCCACAGCTTCACTACAACGGCAACACAGGCATTTGATTCAAAAGCTCTGGAATCAAAGTTGTCTCTGATTGGTTTAAATCGTTTAATTATCGATCAAGCTCAACGGTGCGTGAATTTTATTCCCGTGAAAATAAAGCTGAGCACAATAGGGGACAGACTGCCTTTAAGATTGTACTTGCCTTTTTCCTATTCAGTTGGTATCATTAGTGCCACTCAGCGTTTTGTGTTGCACGTTAATTAGTGTACTGTTTCTTTCTACTTAAGCTTCTCAGAGTACCTAAATAACATTAATTGACTTCTGTCCTTGTATCAGCTGTATCGAATGTGTCACAGTCTAAAATATTCCGCATTTATTTTGTGTGTTTTTTATGGTCATCTAAGGAGATTGTAAGTCCCGTTTAATATAATTACAGAAACATCGATATCAACCTTTGTTTAAGAGCATAGTGTCCAAGATTCCTTATTTAGTTCTAACTTGTGCTGTAAATTCAAATAAATTGCGTACATCAGAGCTTTTAATAAAAGGCTGGCCTTGACTACTGCCGTGTTGTTTTTAATCAAATACAATTTCGTTGTTTTGAGCTTTCTTTTTCTTGTGTCTACGTGTGGCCTTGATTTTTTATGTTGTTCATATGTACCATGCTTGGCCAAACATCTTTAACAAGCACTTGCCATTGTGTCTTTTATTTATCACTCTCAAGTACCAAAGTACGACTGCTTCCATCCCTGAAAAGGATAATATGTTGGTCACGTGTTGGAGAACTTTTGCATGCAACCAGTTAGAAAGAGGGAAATCCCTTGCGAATTTCCATGAATTTACCATTAATTGTTCGATTGCACTCTGAGCTACTTTTTTCCCAAGTGGTTGTGAGAATGCGGGTGAAATGCATTGCTGATTTAGTTGTGTTGACTTGAGAGTAGAGTAGTAGAAGCACTGTAGAGCAGGAATTGACCTTTGAATCTGCAGAATTGTGCGAAGTCTAATGGCGTGCCAAAATTAATGGATTGTCACCGTTGTTCAGTTATTAATTCGAGTACGATGGTCGTGGCAGAGCTGTTTTGATGGAAGAGATTCGCCGTTCCTAGGAGATGAGGAACCAAGCTATCGTAAGTCTTGTGTTTTTCTTTTATCAAATTCAGACCACGCCAACGGCTATGTCGTAATTCTGCAGATTGATAAACCCCAAATATCATAACTCGTTTACATTGATGACGATGTTTAGTCAAAGGTCCGTTTGACTAAATCTTAAGGCGGGTTTCCACTTTGGCGAATCTGGCTGCGCAACCATTGCCATCGCTCGGTTGCGATCGCAGGATTCATTTCCTATTGAGATTTGGTCGCGCGATCGCTCTCAGTGCCCCATTAGATTTAGGCGCGGAAACAATATAGCGATTACAAGGCGACAAATTTTGATTCTCATTTTGTTGAGGCGACTATTAAAAAGAAAGGCACTGCGGATGCGTAAGAAAAGGAGATTTTGGATAAGGAAAATGTTTGCAGAGAGATGTGAAAAGAGAGAGTATCATCAGTTTGTCAAACGAAAAATAATTTGACTGTACTGTAGGGGTTGACTTTGCTGAAACTGGCGTAAAAGCGGCATGACTTCTTGGCCAATTGTTATTTTTTCCATCGTTCGAACAAGATACTTTTCCTCAGCGTAGCAGAGCGTGGAGTGGATTTTTGTATAAGCGCCAAAGGAAACAAGACAGGGGAATGAGGCATTTTAGGTAAACTAGACAAGAAAGCAAAGCGTCTAATTGAGAATCTGGTCACAAAAAATTTATTTAACTTCCAAAAGCGGTGGCGCGATCGCCAGTGCAACGGGAAATCACTGCCACTGGGTCAGTTGCGCAGGCCCAAAACAGCAGTCACGCGACCAGAATTTTGGCATGGTCAACATTTTCAAAGACTGGTCTTGATGGTGAATCGCAATGCAAAAAAACTTAACAAAGCACATACTCGTTAAAACAATGCAAAAATAAACAAGCTAATGGACATGTCTTTAAATTTTTCAAAAGCGATGGCCATATTCAATGTTCAATTAAAATAAGTTTAATTCAAAATTTTTGACACAGGCGTTTCTACCAAACGTTTCTGCTGCTGAGTATCAGGGCTGTACTGTTCTAAATTAAGGTTAGAATCTAGTCATTCTAGATTGGAAGCTGTTATAGTTGTTAATTTGTTGTTCTAGTCATAAAAATTGAAAAGCAGACCTATGGCTAACATTAACAATTCTTCAGTTAGTGAATAAGCGAGAAAGGCAATAGACAAAAATAATAATGATTAAGTAGACATAATTCAATAAAAACAAAATATTAAATGCCAGTTTAACTTTCTTAACTGAAGAGTGCTCTTTATATGACTGGTGTGAAATAAGCAGTGCACTAAACTTTACTAAATTTTTTTTGTTAAATCTGCCATGCGAACATTCATGCTGCAAAGGCATTGTCGCGGAAAGCAGGGAGTTTGCCGCGCAAACGCCTTTCCCACGGTTTACTTGCGTAATTAACCAGCGTGCTATTAATCAAGGTCGTGTTTTCAGTATTCTTACTATTTCTTTTGTCTCGTAATAGATCTACATAGGTTTAATCGTTAACACATTTATTGTTGGTAATATCTTTTGTATTTGCCGCTTGGTTAATTGACTTGGAACATTTACACATATCTTTTGTAATCATATTTTCTAAAGGGACCGATAACTAAAAACTAATTGCTTATGGTTTAATGTAGTCAGTGTGTGTTTGAAATGAGCGTGTAATGTATACCACATATTTTTACTAATAAAATGATAAAATACAAAATGTTGTATTGATTGTTGATTGCCTTACTGCAACACACTTAGTTGATTTGTTCGGACTGTTACGATACAGTGGAGGCACCGCCCGGATAGTGTGTTGGAGTAAGTTTTGTTTGTGGAAAATATGTCGGTGATAGATAGGAGAAAGAACGTTCGATTGGCGCATAGAGAATTTGCATTGCAAATCATAGAGGACGGTAATGGAAACGACGTGAGTGAAACAGATTTAAGAATGATTCAGTCACAGCTGAAGGAAAAGCAGAAGAAGCTTGATAAATTGGACGACGAGATATTGGGGTTAATAAGTGAGGAAGGAGAAGCCGATGATTGTGTAAAGGAAGGCAAAGAAGCGGGACAGTTTAGATCAAAAGTTCAGGCTGCTATAATACAAATCCAAGGTCGATTGGATGATAAGTTACAACGCAGTGGTTCCATTGACAGTCTAAGTTCTACAGCCACTTTGAATACTAGAAAGGTACGGGCAAGGTTACCTAAATTGGAGATGCGAAAATTCAGCGGTAAACCGTATGATTGGCAGGAGTTTTGGGACGCATTTCGCTCGTCAGTTCACGAAAATGAGGAACTTTGTCAAGTGGACAAATTTACGTATTTACGCTATCTGTTAGACGAGCCTGTGAAAAAGGTTATTGCTGGGTTTTCCTTAACTGAAGCTAATTATGAAGCGGCAGTAGATTTATTGAAACAAAGGTTCGCAAAGCCAGTAGTGATAAAAAGATCGCATATCAATGAGCTAATGAATTTGCAACCTGTTTATAAAGAGCGCGATTTGGATCGTCTTAGACATTTCTACGATATGGCTGAGACACATTTTCGAGGGCTGCACTCTATGATGATAGATGAGACCACGTATTCTTGTGTTGTCGTTCCATTGCTGCTCGACAAATTGCCAGAAGCGGTTCGATTGAGTATGTTGCGAGCGGTGAAGGGCTCTGAAGATTTACCCATTTCGTCTTTTTTGGAAGTGTTGAGAAACGAGCTTGAAGTACGAGAGTCGCACGTTTCAATCTTGAAGCCAAACCTTGCTGGTTCGTCTGGAATGCAGTCAATGATTGCTAGTGGAAAAGGCAAAGATTGGGTGAGAACATCGAGTGCCTTGCACAGCGTTGCAAAGGACCATCGATGCGCCTTTTGTTTAAAATTTCATGAAGAAATTGATTGTCAGAATGTAAAGGACTTTAGTGAACGTAAAAATATTGTGAAAAAATATGGTCGTTGCTTTCTTTGTTTAGCAAAGGGTCATTTATCCTTCAAATGTAGAAACAATATTTCATGCAATATTTGTAAGGGTAGACACCATAGTGCCTTATGTGAACAAGGTAATGCTAATTCTACTGCGTGTAAGGATGTCGGAAAGGCGAACACGAATACTTGCGTAGAGAGTGTTGAATGTGGGGGGAGGGTAGCTCTCCAAACCGCGCAAGGTTATGTTAATGGAACGAGGAAAGTGAAAGTGCGAGTACTTTTTGATGGGGGAAGTCACAGGTCCTTTGTTACCTCCAATGTTGTGAACAAAGCAGGCATTTTTCCTTCTCGTAAGGAGAATTTGCGTATATGTAGATTTGGTGAGACTAATGTAGATGTTTCTGCAAAGGACATTGTTCAAATCACTTTGTCGTCTGTAGATAAGAAGTATAACATCCCATTTGAAGCTTGTGTTGTAGATTCCATCTCACAGCTGGAAAACCAACATTTAGAGATCGTAAAGAAGGATTTTGCTCATCTGAAGGACATTTGGTTTTCAGACGTTGATTCGAAAGAAGAGCAACTAAGCATACAAATTCTGATCGGTGCAGATTACATGTGGCGGTTTATGGAGGACGAAACGAGAAAAGGAGGTGTGAACGAGCCGGTCGCCGTACGAACAAAGTTGGGTTGGGTTCTTTCAGGACCAGTTAAAGGTGAGATCGTTGATGTTACTTCTGTCAGCAATGTCAATATCAATTTTGTATCGGATAAGGAAACTAATGTGTTTAATGATAAGGCCAGTTTACAGGATCAGATCCACAAACTATGGGATTTAGATTCTGTCGGAGTACGGCCTACAACTGATGTTCATGAAGATATTGTGGATAATATCGAATTTACAGGCGAGCGTTACTCGACTAAATTGCCATGGAAGGAAGCCCATAAACCCCTTCCAACTAATTACGGTGTCAGTGTAGCGAGATTAAAGGGGCAATTATCTAAACTCAAGAAAAGCCCTGAAGTATTGCAAGAGTATGACAATATTATTAAGGACCAGCTTGAGAGTGGGATTATAGAGAAGGTTGTAGGTTTAGATAATTCTAGCAATGTTCATTATTTACCACATCATGCTGTTATAAGGGAGGAGGCAGAGACCACCAAATTGCGTATTGTTTACGATGCATCGTGTAGAGAAAAACACAATGGTACTTCTTTGAATGATTGTTTACACGTAGGCCCGTCCTTGAATCCGTTGCTTTTTGATCTTCTTGTCTCTTGGAGACATCACCAAGTCGCCTTAGTCGCCGATATTGAGAAAGCCTTTTTAAACATAGAAGTGCATTCTGAAGACAGGAATTGTTTACGTTTTTTGTGGGTTAATGACATAAATTCCCAGTCGCCATCTATTGAGACGTATCGTTTTAATAGAGTAGTTTTTGGAGTAAATTCATCTCCATTTTTACTCAATGCTGTTTTACGTCATCATATTGACAAATATACAGAGGTCGATCCGCAATTTGTATCACATGTAAGAAATGAATTTTACGTAGATGACCTAGCATCAGGAGCTAAGAATGTAACAGCAGCGCTGGAATTGTATTATAAGGTTAAGAACAGGATGGCTGAAGGAGGTTTTCATTTACGCAAATGGAAAACTAATGAACCCGAAGTCGCGAAGGTTATTGAATCTGAGGCTATTCAGGAGTTGAATTTTAAGACAAAAGAATGCGACAATTCGTATGCGAAAACCATCTTGAATGAGGGAAAGGATATTGATTCCTCATGTAAAGTTTTAGGGATTCATTGGAATCAACGTGAAGATACCTTGCAATTCGAATTTTCGAAAATTGCATCCGAACTACTGGGTAAGAAAGTAACGAAGCGTGAAATATTAAGTTTTCTTGCCAAAACTTTTGACCCGTTAGGAGTTCTTTCGCCTATTCTGATTAATGGGAAATTTCTTTTTCAGGAATTGTGTGTCGAAAATATTGGGTGGGACGACGAGTTACCCCCTGATAAATTAGAGCGTTGGAATAATTGGTTAAGTTCATTAATTAATGTGGGCTCTATTGTTATTCCCAGATGTTTGTATGGGAAGAATGCTGAGAAAATTTTGCATTGTTCCCTACATGGTTTTGCTGATGCGTCTTTAAAGGGTTATTGTGCTACCGTGTATTTTGTTTATGAAGCTAAGGAAGGAGTTTTCAGTCAGCTAGTATGTTCAAAAACCAGAGTAGCACCATTGAAAGCTCTTTCTATCCCGCGTTTAGAATTAATGTCTGCTAGAATTCTCGCAACACTAATGAAAACTGTTTCCTCAGCCTTAAGTAGTTACTGTTATATAGAGGAAAGGTATCTTTGGCTTGACAGTAAAACCGCATTGTTTTGGATAAATAACAGAAATGAATGGAAACAGTTTGTGCAACACAGAGTGAATGAAATTTTAAGGTTATCTTCAAGTGAAGAGTGGAGACATTGTCCCGGTAAAGATAATCCAGCAGATTTAGGATCGCGTGGGGTTTATGTTGATACTTTGAAGGATAGTGAGTTATGGTGGCATGGTCCAGACTGGTTATGTCAGGATAAGTCTTGTTGGCCGTCAAATATTGATTTAGGTAGACCTTCTGAAGTAGATGTGGAACGTAAGAAGGTTGTCAATTCCATGTTGATTAGAGAGGAGAGTTCTAAGGATATTGATCAACTCATTGACATTAATAAGTACAGTTCGTATGATAAGCTTGTACGCATTACTGCATATGTCTGCCGATTCATAAATAATCTTAAAGCTAAAATGAACAAACAGGAAAAATTAATTGGATGGAGGAGGAGAAGTGACACGAGTTCAGTGAAATGATGGTTCTTTGGCAATATTTTATGGAGGGAATTTATGTTTTTTGTCTTTCAAATTTGCCATATCAGAGTTTGAATAGTTGCCTATCTTTACGGGCATCTTAAAATATCCACTTCTTTGCCGCGTGGTTTGTGGCAATGCGTGGCTCGGTGTATGCTGTGTTCGTAAGCGCAATTTTCAATGTTTGTTGGGATCATTGTTCGGTTGTTAAGTACTGGCTTGGGCGCATGAGTGGATTCGACAACTTTGTTTTGTGCTGCAGTGTGAGGCAGTTAGATTTCTGTGGTAGTGACACTGTTAGGACATGTGCT